CTCCGTCCCCATGATAGACAACCCCCTCTTCTGAGTAGGTTTCTGTAGGCAGGCCGCAGGTCACGTCGTTGGTCCCAGTGGCGCCTGTGCTCTCTGGGTCAATGACATGCGCCTCGCCGCTGAGAAGATCTGCTGGTTCATCGCTGACTTTCATGACGTGTTCAACGTCGTGTTGCGGTTGAGCGGCGGTGAGCTCCGTGGTCAGCATCTTCAGGAACAATTCGATCATCCTGGGGGCTCCCTGGGGGCTCAGTCTCCGGCGGAGCAACTTGAACTTCCACTTGAATTCTCTGCCCACGCGCAGGATGATGCACCGGCTTCAGAGCCCGTTACATTCCAATCGGACGGAAGTCCCGAGGAACTGGTCCTCTGATGTGTACAGTACGGATGGCGACAGCCCTCAGCGGCAAACAGCCGCGACCACCGCTGGGCACGCCAAAACTGCACGAGGATCTTGACTGGCTCATGCCTGTCTGCATTGCTGTCTCTGTCCGCGTCTTTTCCCTCTGCAGCTGCTGCGCCAAATTGGAGCGGCGGTGTGGATGTTGATCTGGCGGTGCAGATGCTCGCGAAGCAGAAAACCCCCGCACGGCAAGGCTGTTCACACAAAGGCATGCAGGATGAGCAGAGATCCATTCATCGGGGGTCTGTTGGGGAGATCGTGTGTTTGTGATTGGTAAAGGACTCGGGATCGGCCGAACGATCCCATACACTCACACACCGTACTGCACGTACAGAACCGGTACCAACACACGTACCGTAACGATGTACTCTGTCTTTCAACCGAACAGATAAAAGAAAGCCCTGTATATCGCCTGTGCAATTACTAAATCGGCCGCGAGGCTGGAGCGACTTGGTATGCCTTTCATGTCACAGGGCCTCGCTACTCCTGTCATGGAAGCCAACCGATGAAATGACGTTGTGAGGCACTTAAGGACGCTTCGCATGCACTCGGTGACAATGTGCTTTCGTGTCTCTTACTTGGTTTGGTCTGGGTCCGTCATTAATTGTGTCTCGTTGCGCGCCAAGGTATCGTTGCAGCGAGACACGAGGCGTTTGTGCGCAATGTACAAATGCGGGAATTTCGTAGAACCGCTGAATCTGATGTGGTATATTAATATCGATGCATGTGTGCGGTATACGTACGTACGTTCTGTGTGTCTTGCATGTGTGATCGATGTGAGCATGAGCGAGACAGACAGACAGACAGACAAACTTGTGCCGCTGTCGATCGGATGTGTAGACAGCTCGGTAGGGGAGCTGACGGACAAATGACTGACTGACTGACTGACTGACTCACGGAATGAACGGCACAGCAAGCATTCATGTGGCTTCCAGGAATCAATCAATCCATCAATTTGTCTGCCCCGCCAGCGTGCGCACTCATTCAGCCCATCCATCCATCCATCCATCCGTGTACTACCCCACACCTGCGCGCGCTAGTGCATCTATATGTATGTTTGTTTCCTTGTCCGTCTCTCTCATGACACACACCGCTCAAACGAACGACACACACACCGATCCTCCAGCCCACACTGGCCTCCCTGCCTGCCCCCCCACTTCTAAATGAGTGAACGCCTTAGTCGTCTAGCTACTTGTTTCTTTGTCGGTGATGGTGTCGCCGCCCATCCCATCCAGCGTAGCGTCAGTCACTGCGCCTCCTGCGTCGGGAGGAAAAAATACCTGAGTGGCGCACACAGCACACAGCACACAGCACGCAGCACACCAGAAACATACATGATTGTGGGTGAGTGTCCTTGGGAATCATCAAACGTCCCCTAGTGTCTGACGTCAACAAGTATGCCCGAACAGAGAGAGACATGCATTGCGTACCGTCCCAGCGGATTGCCTCCTGACCGCCATGTGGGGCCTCTGAATGAGCGGATGGTACACAGACAGACAGACAGACAGACAGACAGACAGACGGGGCAGAGAGCGATCGATGTGCGGGCAGACAGAGTTGTTGCACCATCCATCCATCCATCCGTCCGTGTGCGATCGACGTGGACGCGTGCGACGAAGTAAGTCTGTTCGTGTGTGTGTGTGTGAGAGATAGTGAGAGTGTGGTGACTGACTGACTTGATGAGCCAGGTCCAGGGGTCGACGTCGGGAAAGTCGCCCACCGCCTTGAGAAAGTACTGAGCCAGGAGCTCCTGCAGGCACGGCACGCAGCGATAGAGGGGGAGAGGGATACATACATGGATGCACCGGATGCAGGCACCCATCCCTCTCTCTGTGTGTGTGTAGGTATGCGATGCGATGCGATGCGATGCGATGCGATGCGATGCCTACGGTGGCAAGTGAGAAAAGGATGACGACAAAGCAGAAGATGAAGAACTTGATCAGCAGCTCCGCCTGACGGCCAAATGCTGCACACACACAGACACATGGACCCCATGACCCACACACACACACACACACGGAGTCAGCCGGCCGAAGCACAGTGAGTGCCCCGTCCGTCCCACTGGCCAGGGCGTGGCGTACTGACATGGCCATTCTATCCTCTCCGTGACTTCGGTGTAGAGGTTCTTGAGTATGTTGTCGCTGTCGTACGGCCCCTTGTAGACATTCATCTGGTCCACCGCCGTCTGGTTGTAAAGCTGATCGTACAGACCTGTCAGTCCACGTGGATGGACGATGGATACACACACACAAGAATTAATAAGGATGATGTACTCAAACACGCACACGCGCCCCAATCCACTTTATCTGCTGCCTATGTACTTACCCGATTCTTTGAGTTGCCTGAGTTTGCCCTGGACCTGCTGCTTGATCTCCTGCTTGACCGGCGGGTCGATGGGATTCTCCCAAGACACCTTTCGCTGAAACTGCACACACACCAAGCACACACACACACACACACATTGTCACGCAGGGGAGGGATGAATGGATGGATGGCACCTTGGTAACACATGCCAACCATCCATCCCACATGTCCCTGCCTGTCTGCCTGTCTGCCTGTCTGCCTGCCTGCCCGCCCCGCCCACCTCAGCTGCCTCTTCAGGAGTCACATCCTTCTCAGTCTCTGCACGCACTCACACACACGTGGATGGTGAATCAATCATTCCTCCGTGTGACCCACCCACCAGTGGAGAAGCTCATCAACACCACACCATTCCTCCCATGCAGCAGCACAGGATGTTGCCTTTGCCTCTTCTCCCTTCCCAGCACAGCGCCGCTCCTCGACAGGCCATTCACCGAGTGCAGCGCTGGCCTGAACGCCAGCACCACTGACGAGCAGATCTGGCATAGACAGACCACCGCGAGGGTGAGAAAGAGCCGAAATGGCGATGGTCGATGGGCGGGAGAGGAAGGCATGCTCTCGGTAGCTCTAATGGAACCAACACCAGCTGCGTAAGGCTTGCACTCAAAGTGATGAGAGATCCAAACACGGGTTGTGGCAGCTCTTGCAGATGGATGGACAGATGGATGCTTGATGCGCTCCTGGATTGTCTTCAACTGCGAGCTTAGTTGCGAGGATCTGCAAGTGTTTGAAGGGGTCAGCTTCGTCGAGAGAGTGCGCCGGGCGTCATTGGTTATGTGATCCATGCCGAAGTTCCGGAGTCAGCCCTGCACGTTTGTGTGCTGCTCATCTATCATGTCGTCGCCCTCCCTGCTTGTCGCCCGCTTGGCGGTTCTTGTATATGTGGCTGCTGTTGCTCACCTCGCTGCCGCCTTCACCTTCCACAGCACCGTTCCCTCTGTCCGCCTTTCGCGTCACCACATCAGGCCGTCATCAGCCAGTGCTCGCCTCGCACCGACCCTCGGCGCATCCGTGGCCGTGCCGCCACCGCAGACACACGCAGACACTCGGCAGCCGCCCGTGGCCCCTGTGACATCGTCTGCTGAGCGGTTCTACCCCTCGAGCTATGCTGAGGTCTATCAACGGAGGGAGGCTGTTGCTGCCCTTGAGGCCGCCTCGGCATCGTCGAAGGGCAATGTGACGGCGCTGGCGGCCGATGTCGGTGCAGGAGGTGCGGGTGCGTGTTGGTATCCTGTGTTGGTGAGGCAGTTCTGTTCGGCAGTGTCTGGTCAGCTGATGAGGACGTTCCATGCTGCCAAGGGGCAGTGGACAAGACTGCACCACATGCCAATCACGGATGCGGTGCGCTGACAGACAGAGGAGGCGCATGCCGACATACCCCATAGGGGAATGTGTATGTATCTGTTCGTGCGTGTGTGTGTGTGTGTGTGTGCAGGCCTTCCTGCAGATATGTCTGAAGCATCTGTTGATCATCGGGCTGACGGTGTTTGTCTATCGGTGGCTCAACATGCACCTCACATCCATCCCACTGCCTCCCACGACAGCCACATCGCCAGCTGCCGGACCGGCAGGTCTGGCCACCATCGCCCCCCACACCCCGTCAGCGCGGAAACTCCTCTCAATGATCGCATTCCTGCGACGCAGGTCAGGTCGGCCGGCGTACTGACTAGCGAGCGACACACATGGCATGGCATGGATGACTGTTGGTGGATGTCTGGGGGTGGATGTGTGTGTGTCAGGCAATCGTCCGATGTGGCCGACGATGTGGTGGAGGAGGTGGTGAGTGCGGGCGACAAGGCGACTGGCCTGTGGCTCACGACAGGCGCTGTGGGGGTGCTCGTACTCGGCCTCTGGCAACAGGCCGCCAGGTACGCGGCGACCGACCACACCATAGCGACGACTGCATCACATAGTCGGCTGACAACCATTCACTTCGTTCGTTCAGTGCGCGACGCCGTGAGCGAGCGCGCATTCGTCGTGCGTTGGACGAGTATGAGGACGCCAAGGAGAGCTGGATTCGGGAGGGGATCGATCCTGAGGCAGAGGAGTACCTGAGGCAACAGGGATACAGACGCCCGCAGTACCAGGCGTACACACAGGGCAGGCGGCAACAAACTGACACAGACAAGTAGGCACTCAATGGATGGACGGACGGGCGGTGATAAATGCACGCAAGGCGGATGCATGTGTCTACATGTTCGTTCGTGTGTGTGTGTGTGTGTGTGTGTGTGCAGGCGGCCAGGGAAGGGGGATGAGGAAGAAGACGACGAGTGGTGATCCATTGTCCATCCATCCATCCATCCTTCACTCACTCACCGCCCGATTTTCATTCCATCGATGCGATCGATGCGATGCATGCCCGTCTCTCACTCAGCCTTTTAGTGTGGCCCAGCCAGCCCCCTTTTGCCCTTCCTCCCTCCCTCCCTCCCTCCCTCCATCCCTCCCAGCCATCCTTACCCCTCTTTTTTTGCCATTCATGTTGGTTTTGAATGACGACCGATCTGGCCATTCCTGACACACCAGCCGGGTAGACAGACGGTCTGCAGGCAGGCAGGCAGGCAGGCGCCTGGTGATGTGGGTTGATGTGCCTTGTTTGATGGGGCGTGTCATTCAATTCACGCGTGTGAAGCAGCTGGTGCGTCCCCTCTTTTGCTAGACCTTGCCACAGAGACGGGAAACTGCTTGTGTGTGGCCCGAGGCGAGTAGTGTCACGTGGCTGATGCAAGGCGTAGCACGGGAGGGAGGCACATCAATCATTTTGGGCTGCATCTGGGAGGCTGTTGGC